AATTAAAACATCAACTCAAACAACAATTAGCATGAATTCACTTATAATTCTCCATATTTCTTCAGAATATTATTTTTAACTTTCCCTTCAATATATACAAGGATCTGTCATTTTTAACTTCATCTTCCAGGCTGTTCCATAATCTTATTCCCTGGATTAAAGTTGTTTTCTGCTTCAGTCTCGTACGAAACTAGGGTTTCATAAACATTTCAATTCCTTTAAGATTATAACAGCTCTGTCTTTTTACCAAATTTACCTGAATGTTAGTAAATATTATGGTATCCAGACGCCGRTTTCTCTCACTTTCAAGAAACTGAAAAAGCCTCAAATAACCCAGTGACTGTGTAAAAACTATATCTATTCTTCAACCATCAACTCAAATATGTGGAAAAATCTTCAAAAACTGCAAAACATCACCTTTGAACTTTATGCTTATAACATGCTAGAGGCAACAGGCCTCCGAATGGACTGGGTTTTCTGGTTTTAAGATCTTTTAGCTTTCTGTGGGTAAATATCTGGCAGTTTTTAATAGATTTTGTTTGTGTTCTGTAATGTAGCTCTATTCACTCATTACAGCTATATAGCCTATAATTTGCACATCTTTCCCCAAAAATAAAGTGTATGAAAATGGACAAAAATTKTAACAGAATGGTAGGTGGACTTAATGCTAATTACTCGTTATGTTTATTACATGTAAAGACAGAAGATGAAACACTCATGAAACTGGAAGAAACTGCAGATATTTTATTATTATTAAGTTTACAATCAAGTACAACAAAAATCTACCTGATGCCAAAACGATGTACAAAATATTTGGAAAATGTACACAACAAAGTGTTGTGTTTTGAATATTATTAGTTTATGTAGGTTATTAATTTCTTTTAAAAAACACATTACATACAACAAAACAATGCAAATCAAATAAAACTAGACATGGGTTTTTACGATGTAAAAACAAGTGTGCATTGCCATGTAGCATGGCTTTGCCTGCAGCATTGGACTTGCAGAATGAACTTTGACCAAGTTCAAATGTGTTTTCTATACCAGCTTGTGCCTGTCACGTCAGCAGGTGTTTGTAATTAAGGTAATTGTGTGACAATATGAAGTTTGAAGAGATTTTTGTTAAAGTTGCCTTAGCTGGGTTTTGAACCCTGATCTCCAACATGAAAGTCCATGACATAGACCATTAGACCAGTGGAGCTGTGGCAGAAAGTGGTGGCAGGGGTTGGTTTGTATGTGTGCAGAAAGAGGCCACATTGCCAATACAATTATTGACACTAAACTGCATAATATGACAACAATAGAGCAGTATTAAGACAATTTTATAGTAAAACATCAAAATGCAATCTTATTAGTATTGTAAACACTGAACTGTTGAGATTAAATATTAAAAAACTATGGTGCAGTACCAAGTTGAGTACAGCTGGGGGCAGTATTAGACCATTACAAGGCCCCATTGACTCCCATTTTATGAATTTGGAATAAAGTTTAAACATTAATATTTCAAAAACTTTAAGTTGTACACGTACCAAAAGGCATAGCCATCATTTGGCACAAGACCTTTACAGATAGAAATTACAACGGCAGCTGTAGGACAAAGTATGCAGGAGCATTGGACTTTCAGAATGAACTTTGACCAAGTTCAAATGTGTTTTCTGTACCAGCTTGTACCTGTCACATCAGCAGGTGTTTGTAATTAAGGTAATTGTGTGACAATATGAAGTTTGAAAAGATTTTTGTTAAAGTTGCAGTAGCTGGATTTGAACCCTGATCTCCCACATGAAAGCCCACTGTGCTCATCATGAGACTATAGGAGATGTGGCAGAAGACAATCCCAGGGATTGGATTGTATGTGTACAGAAAACGTTTACCTTGCCAATGCAATTATTGACACTTAAGTGCAATATATTACAGTAATAGAACATAAAGACAGTACAGCAGTAAAACATCAAAATACAATCATATTAATATTACAATCACTGAACTACTGAGTTTAAATATTATGAAACTATGGTGCAGTACCATATTGTGTAGATGCAGCAGGGGGCAGTATTGGACCAATACAAGGCTCCATTGACTGCCATTATAATTTATAAACATTAATATTTCAAAAACTATAAGTTGTACAGGCACCAAAAGGCATATCATTTGGCACAGGAGCTTTACAGATATAAATTACAATGGCAGCTCTAGGACAAAGTATGCAGGAGGAGAAGCATGGCAAAGTTGAGATGACTTGGATGGGAAACCAATCACAATAGTGTTCATTGCATTGACAATGACCACTGATGAAAGGCAGCAGATGAAGAAAAATTTTATATCTGCGCCTATTTACAAAAAATATACAGTATATTAATTTCAAACAATAATAAACCAAATAAAACAAAAGCTCAACTCCTGAAAGAGTAACTCATACAAATACAAATTAAACAATTTCATATTTCTTTAACAATTTTACTTTGATCTTTTTTTAAAGGAATTATTGGATCCCTTGGTTTTATAATAATTTTCCAGATTATTCCATAGTCTTATGCTTTTTACTGAAGTGCATCTGTCCTTCACATTTGTTCTGATTTTTGGTTTAACAAACATTTGTAATCCCTTCAAATTATAACAGCTTTCCATCTTAACGAAATTAGATTGGATGTTTGAAGGTAACACAGTTTTATTAGTTTTATATATAACCTGCAGAATGTTATAATCAACCAGCTCATAAAATTTTAACAATTTTAATTGATGAAACAATTTACAGTATTAGAAGGGTGATAGTAATGCTTTCTTGTGATAATTCTTATGGCTCTTTTTTTGTAAAATAAAAATAGGATTAGTAATGGTTTTACATGCATTTCCCCAGACTTCTACACAATAAATCAAATGTGGAACAATTAATGCATAATATAATATAAATAGTCCTTTATCATTAAAAAACTCCTTAACTTTATACAATACTGCAATAGATTTTGCCATTTTTGTTCTTAAGTAATTTATATGAGGCATGTCAGTTTTTCATCAGTGATGACACCAAAAACTTCACCTCACTGACTCTACAGATCTCAACACCTTCTAYATCAGTTGTTTTCTTTCTATTACTAAATATCATGTAATTWGTTTTATCCAAATTTAATGATAACTTATGRTTAAACCAATTTTGTRCTTTTAAAAATTCCATTTCCATTATTTCCAACATCTTTTCTATATTTTTACCCAAGCTAAAAAAATGTGGTGTCATCTGCAAATAAAACACATTTGAACAACCCCAACACATTTACCAAGTCATTAATATATAAGAGAAACAACTTTGGTCCCAGTACAGAACCCTGTGGAACCCCACATACAATTTTACAAAGTTCAGACCTTACATCATTATCCAATAAAAAAACATTTTAGTAAGCATTCTAGTTTTAGAACAAATAGTACTTGCAAAACTTTAAATTGGCTTTAAGCCACCAGGTCAAATAGAAATTGGAGAAATTCAAGGCCATGTGTTCAGATCCCTGTGATAGTCAGCCTCAATCACAGCAAACCCATGTATTGTCTTCATGTTTATTTGGGAAAACAGTATCTTAAACAGGTAATAGGCTATGTACAAAACACAAAACAAGTAACAAAATGAAACCATGGAAATCCTACATTTTTCTCACTACATTTTCTTGTCACTAAAAAGTGAAAATCAAGCAAAATTTCTAATCAACCCTTGACGTCAAATACCTGTTTTTTATTTTAGAAGTTTCACACCTTATAAATAAATAACTTTTAGCTGTACACAGGCCATTACATGTAGCATATCTGACTCAGTGAGTTAACCCTTCTTGTTAAAAGTACGGCTCTTGGTATTTTGTAGGACAGATGTAAATTCTTCAGGCTGTGCTGGAGTCGTGACGGCTGAGCTTCTCGTTTTTCATCATGCTGTCAGTGGTGAAACGAGGGTGAATGGCGATGGCCGTCGTCGGCACCGTTTTAGATTTCCGTCTGGATGATCGTGAACACAYCAGGAAGAAGATCTCGACCACATTGAGCCCCAGAGACACACAGGCCACCACCAACATGAAGATGATGAAGATGGTTTTCTCAGTGGGCCGAGACATGTAGCACTCCACGGTGAAGGGACACGGCTTTCGGGAGCAGACAATGAGTGGCTCCATGACAAACCCGTAGAGGTAATACTGCCCCACGATGAAGGCGATCTCTAGAAGGATCCTGAATATAATGGAGGTTATGTAGTTTCCCAGCAGGTTGCCTTTAATCTTGACTTTGCCTTTCTCGTCAGTGTACTTGGGAACTTTAACAACTTCGGAGCTAGAGTGGGTTTCGATGAATTCTCGTAGCTTTTTCTCTTTGTGAACGACGTGGATGACGTGACCGAGGTAGAGCAGGGTTGGTGTTGAGACGAAAATAATCTGGAGCACCCAGAAGCGAATGTGTGAGATTGGGAAGGCGTAGTCGTAGCAGACGTTCTCACAACCAGGCTGCTTGGTGTTACAAACCATTTTGGACTGTTCATCACTCCAAACCTGTAAAGTTCAGATGAGAAAGTTATTAAACACAACATCTACTGTATTTTGTTTTTACTCTAAWTCTCATTCATATTTCTTCACTCGAGGTGACCCCTATTTTGTATTCCTAATATTCTCATTCTCATCTCTAGCCTTAATCTTATTCTTATTTTATCCCTGTATTTAGTTTCCTTTTTATTAGGGCTGAATCAGTAAGTCCCGATTTCTTTAGTTTTGGGAGAAGACCAGTGATTGACCTTAGAGGCCAATCTTATCCACCGATCTACCTCAGCAAGTGTGTCACCTGTACAAGTTTTAACCACTAAGTTGAAACAGAAATTATACGTTGATTCAAAAATTAGACCCAATCTGACATCTTC